AAAGAATAATAAAAACACTATGCTGGCTTGACTGTGGGTTATAGAAAAAAAAAAAAAAATAAAACTATAATATATTATAGATTTTATTTTAATTTTATAATAAAAACATATTATTATAGTATGATTATAAATTAAAAAAAAAAACAATTTAATTCTTTATTTCTGTTAACTAATAATATTAAAAAATTATATCCTAACTTTATTAAATGATTTAATATTATATATAGTAGATATGAATATTTATTATATTATAAACAACTTTTTTATTAATTATATTAAAGTCTATGAAAAATAATAATTTCTTAAATCTAAATTATTGATTGAAATAATATTTATTTATATTATTAAAAACTTTTTTCAAATTACTATTTTTACTAGTAAGTTATTAATTACATTTGTAAAATTATTAAAAAAATATCTCTTGAATAATATATAATAAGAGACAAAATCTATAATAATATCTTTTTCAAATTGAAAACTAGTAAATAAGATAAATATAATTAATAAAGAAAAAAATAATATATATATTACTTAAGTAATAACTTTATAATGATAAATATATTTTTAGATAGTTTTTAATTCATTAATTTCTTATTTATCTTATTATAAGAAGTTTATTTTGATTTTAAAGTATAAAAGTATTTAAAAAAATATTATAATTATTAGAAATTTCTATCTTTTATAGTTTGAGCTTATCTATATCAATATTAATTAAGTCCTTTAATTTTTTTGCCCTGATTGCATCCTTGAGGTGATCAATAAACTAAGTCTTATCTATATTGATAAAAAAGTATTTGCTAGAGTATTATTTCTTTTAATAATACAAAGAAAATAATATTTTCAACTTTTGCTTAACAATAATATGATTACACAATTTGTTATGTGAGATGATAAGTTCATTAAATAAAATAGAAATCAGAATTAAGCTTTATAATTGTGATTCTAAAATTTGTATTATATATATATAATATTAATAATTGCCTATATTATAGTTTGAATTAAAAATTACGTATTAGAATAAAAAATACAGTACATATATTTTTATAAAAAATACATAGAATCTCAAAATATAGAAAATAGCTGTTATTTTTTTTTCCATGCGGGCTTTTTATTGCAATTTTTAACATATTTGTAATTAATAAAATTAATAAATATAAAATCCAAAAAAAATTTTGATTCATCTTCAAAAATAATCGCATATACTGTATTAGAACAATAGACAATTTTTTCAATAAAATTTATTTATTTAAATTTGGTAATTTCCATTATAACATAGTGATATAAGAATAATATAGTAATAGAAAAAAAATATAAGCAGAATCAAACACAAATCTTGCTTGTCTGAAAATATAAATTGGAGGATAATATTATGGAATGCGAATATCGAGGTAAAATGTCTTGATTTGAGGGAGAAGTTATCTTTTAATACTTTTTAATTGTCACATGTTTGGTTAATGACATTTACGCTTATATTTGTTCACTAGACGATCTGGACAAGCGTCATATTTTAGGTATAAGATAAAATATGACGCTGTCCAGATCGTCTAGCGAACAAATATAAGCGTAAATGTCATTAACCAAACATATGATAATCATAGAATGGCGACTAATAATGTAAATTTTTCATTGACTTCACATTTACGCAATATGTAGCCGTAAATTTCATCCCAGCAGGGTGCAACAGAAACACCATGTGGGGATGAACTTTACGGCAACGCATAGCGTAAGGGCGAATTTAAAGAAAAAATTACACAAACTAAAGAGACAGTTTTACGAGGATAGGTAAAAAGAATAAAGGGGTGTCGAATGTTGAGAAAAAAGTTGGATTGTAAAAATGATCCTATTTAGATATGGACAAACAAGATTTTTATATGAATTCAGATTCTTACTGTCCTTCTGGCTTTTCCAAAAGGTCAAGCCAAAATTGAAAAATGATGTTTTTAGGGGGATTGAGAAGATAATCTTGCGGAACAAGATCATTAAGGTAAAGAGCATGCGCAATTATTTGGCATGCAATTTCAAGATTGGAAAAAACGAACTCGAAAATTTGAGTACATTTCTCGTATGAAATAAATTCAAATTCAAAAAGAACTTTGGCAACCAAAGTTACAACCTTAATAAGACTTTCTTTTTCTAAATATAAGAAGGGATATTCAAATCCTGAAATGAAGGGTAAAAGCTGATTTTCAGAATAGTATCCATCTAATGGGAGATTCGAAGAGGAAGAGTCCTGAACGAGCGGCAAATAATAAAGTTTCCTCTCTGGATGTTCAATTAAATAGGAATCTGGAAATGCGAAACTCGTAGCAGGTAAGGGAGTAGAATCCAGGAGTGGATCATTTGAAGTATCATCTGAAACTTTGATCGATGGTGTTCTCGTAGAATCCAAAGGAGAAAGAGGATATTCACCGATTAAAGAGAGGTCAGGAAAAGCGAAACTAGTAGGAGAACCGTATAGAGGGTCCATAGATGAAAATAAATTTGAATCATTTGAAGTATTATGTGAAACACCAATAGGTGTGCCTCTAGATAAGGGGCCTGGAACATCATGACCGGCACCGAATGGAGAATCGCATGAGTTCGGAATGAATGCAAGCGAATTTAAATCATCGGAAATGTTATGAGAAACTTCAATGGGTGGTGTTCTCCTAGAGTCAAAAGGAGAAGGCGATTTTTTCTCTGGGAAGCAATTGATTGACGAAAGGTGTGGAAAGAGACCAATATCAGGTGGAGAATCGTTCAGAATAAAACTGGTATCGGATGGAGAATCGTTCATAGTGAAACCGGTATCGGGTGAGGAATTGTATAAAGTGGACGAATTAGAAGTGGATTGACTTAAGCCGTTAATAGTGTCGACGTCGGTATACAAACGAAAATCACGTGTAGCCTCAGTAGATGATGAGTTGACTTTTTTCGAAACTCCGGCAGGATTCCGTTTTTTAGATCGTCCCGATTTTCTTGGACTATATTTGTATCCTGGATACATTTCTTCATGTTTTCGCTTATAAATTTCCGAAAGAACTTTGAAGGAATACTTTACATTTGGAGGCTCAGAGAACCAACTTTTTGATGCAAGTTTGAAAATATTCCCTTTTGTTCCGTTTTTGGATTTTTGTATCTGAGAAAAATGCTTCAAGTAAATGCTAAAATCATTTAGCTGTCTCGGAGCATTTTCGCCATCTTCCACCTGAGGTACATCGGTAAGGAATTCCACGTCCATGTTTTTGAAATAATCCTGAGTTTCAGAATTCCCAGAGAAATAATCCATAATGTTAAGATTGATTGAGAATTTTTCGTGCATGAAAATATGAATCTCAGTATTTATAATTGCTCGGAAATACTTAGATATGTGCGTATGCAATCGTTTGAGGATTACTACTTTTTTTGTATACAAGTAGTCGTTTTTTGTGCGACAGATACCCCCAAATATCATTATCAGGGCCTTGAAATGTAGGGTATTTCTGCGCTCATGCACATCGTTTTCTTGATTATCAAGAAGAAAGTAGATTTTTCAGTTTTGACATATTCTGACATGTGTTTAAATTAGTTCGAGTTAATTCTTTTTCGAAGCAAAAATAATAATCTTACAATGGTCTTGGAGTCACCCATTGTAACCCTAACTCTACCAATCCCCCAGTCATGCGAAAGTGCATATAATTTAGCTGATTAATGAATTTCAACATCGCGAGAAAAGAATTTCCTATTACACATACAGCATTTGCGGTTGTTGAAAATACAAGGAAAAAGGACTAGATATACATGTTTTGCTTGTTTTTGTTTACTAATTTGGCAAATACTGGTTGCTTTGCATGCGAATTTGATGTGGCGTATAGCACAAATTAATTATATAGATAAAGATTATTTTAAAAAATTTCGCAGTAGTGACCTGCAGGCAATGGTATTAAAAGTTGGAAGGATCTTTACCTGAAATACTAACGGAGTGATAAATCACTTCCGAAGTTGCACTTAGAGTTTTAAAACAGAGACATTTGAGTTAGATAGAGATTTAGCTTAGTGACACATAATAAATGTATAGCATACAAATGTTTAGCATTGCATAGCCTGACGGGTTTAAAAAATTTATTTTAAATATATTATATTAGCTCATCTATTATTAAAGTTTGCTTTTTTATATATAACTTAGATAATGATATTTTGCTTTCTTTATGGCTTGAAATCTCTTAACTATTTTTAACTATTCAAATTATTATCTATATTTTATTACTATAAAAAAAATTTTTTTTTGATCCTTTGTTAGATTAGTTATATATACTTTATTAAATATTTAGTGGACTTTATATATAGTTTATAATAAAATATTTTAAAAATTATTTATTTATTTATTATTTCATTATATAAAAATTAATAAAAAATATATCAAAATTAAGTGGAAATCTAGAGATTTTATTAATATAAATTAACAATTGATCCTTTTTTCTTTTTTTTTAATTATTACTTCATATCTCTCTTTATTGAATTTATAAAATTATTTAAAATTTATTTTATTTTTCTATCATAAATATTTCAATTTTAAAATATTTTTAAATAATCTTAATTTTATATTTCTTTTTAACAATAGTTCAAAGATTTCAATATAATTTAAATCTAAATTATTAAAAGATCAATCTATAACTTTAGAAAAAATTTTATTAATAAATATTATAGCAATTTTGTTCGTATGTTTTTAATTATTATTATATTGAAAATAAAATTATTTTTAAGCAATTTAATTAAGTTTTTGCAAAATATTATTATAAAATTTTGTATCTATAATTTTTTTAAAATAAAAAATAAATGTTTTTTTTTTTATATAAAATTCTTTTTATGCAAAAATTTTGATATAATCTTTAGATATTATTCTAATTAATCTTATATTTTCATTTTTATTTATTTTATTTTTTTTGACAGGCTCTTGTCTAACTTTATTGATTTTCAAATTATACATATATATTGTACCAGGTACAGATGCATGGGTATATATTTGGAGTCAATAAATATAATGATAAGTTAAAGCTATTTCTAAAGCTATTTCAAAGCCTATTGTTCTTTTTTTTATCAAAGAAAAACTAGCATTTCTAGAGCATGCTAGTGTCATAAAATAAAATTAGATGAAAATAAAAATTAAATTGAATAGTCATGTATCTTTCTGAAAAGATATCAGTTTTGTTTCTTAATACATGTCTGTTATGTTCTGATTTTTCTACGGAAAGATTTGTGAAAGAAAACTTCTACTGAGTCTTTACAGAAATAAGGTGGAGACCATCAAAGAAGACTTTACAGTTTTAAGACTTGTGAGGAGGGAGTAATCAGAAAGGCTCAAGTAATATATTGATATCTATATAAGTGACTTGAGAGTCTTTTAGTATATTATTAATTAAATCTATTTATATCTAAATATGGGTACATCTTATTTCAGATTTAATTTCTTATAAGAAGAACAGTACCTAGTCTTGCAATAAACATATCTTGCTGATAGTTATTGGTGTTAGCAATCAATGAGGATCTTCCAGATTATCCAGCTGGTTCACATGTCATTGCTAATATTTTTGAGCTCAAGTTTCGATTGATATAGTAATGTTAATTTTTTAGTTTTTCAGCTTGAAATTTTTTGAAAATAGGATGAAAACTTTCTGAATTGCTTTGCACATGAGCTTTATCACTGAGTATCCTTAATGGCATCAAACTTTCTTTGATTTAGACTTTTCAGATAGTAGGGGTTGGGATCTATCTAACATATAATCAGAATATAGATAGTTCTGACTTGAAAAAAGGCCAATTGAGTATCTTGTGACCTTTATCATAGTCGAATGAACTCTTCTTGTATTCAATAATATGTTAGTGACATGTCCTGTATTCACCCACATTAGTGCATGTAACTTATAATAGACTTTAGATTCTTATAAGGCTGAGGAAATATATTCAAACACATAAGATGACCAATAGGAGCTTGCTTATTAATCTTATCTAATGTGTTTTATGTTAGTCAATTAGAGTTGGTAAGATTTATGCTACCTGAAATTTTAGAATCAAGCTGGGGTAGATAAAATTTTCCAAAAAGTCATAAAAAAGGTAGCTCTAAGAGGCCACAACACCAGTCGAAGGATAGAAAAATCTATTATCTTTACCATAACTAAGAGGTATGAGATTCTTTACTGTTGGTTCTTTTCTCTTTAGGAACTTTCTTACTATAGGTAGCAAAAATAGGAGCTGAACTTTGTAGGTTACAAGAGTCCAGTTTGTTCAAAGAAGATTGTAAACAAGATGGAAAAAAAGTAAGGAAGTTCTAGAGTGAATTCTTTAAGTTGGTTTAAAGAGAGTGATAATACTTTTCTAGAATAGAAGTATTAAAACTTCTTGCGAATATCTTTTTTGTGTATGGTCAGAGGATCAGGAGTTGATTTGGATTTCTATTTCTGATCTTATATTTTCATATTATTTAGTAATTATATTTTTAAATAGTTAAATATTATTTCATTAAAAAATTAAATCTTTTTTTAATTATAATTAAGATATTTTTTTATATAAATAACATGAGCTTTTTTATAAGTAATAATAAGTTAAATGTTTTTAAAAATAAATTATTTTTATAATTTAAGCTTGCTAAATATTTTGAAATTGTCATATAAAATACTTTAATATCTATATTTAACAATTTAATTAATATGTTATTGTAGAAAGTCTTAAATTCTAATACAAATATTACTATAATTAATTGCTTTTAATTTATGTATAATGATTTTTTTAAATTAACTTTTACTAGATTTTTTGAATTATTTTTTTTATAATTTAATTTTTTAAAATTGTAATAAATAGTTAACATAATTATATCAGTCCTAAAATATATTTTATTAACAAATTAATTCTATTTATTTTGCAAATATTATATTATTCAATATTATATATGTTTTTCAAAAATAAAAAATTATAAAAATAAGTTTATAAAAAAAAAATTAAAAAAAATTAGAAATTTTAATATTAAATATATATATTTGTTTAGATATATTATTTAAATATTTAAAATTTCATTTAAATTGCTTTTGTTTTGAAAAAGTAATTTATATTTATATTACACAAATAAAATTTCAAAAAAGGTTTATTATATATTATATATTTATGTGATCTATGAATCTATAATACGGTGATAAGGCTTCCAGATTATAATTATAAAATTTAAAGTTTATACTATATGAGAACTAAGTGAAAATTAAGAATAAAAAACTCTTTTTGCTGATTCTCTGACCACACACAAAAAAGATATTTGTAAGAAGTTTTATACTTCTTTGCTAATAAAGTCTTTATACTTTCATTAAAACAATTTGAAGCTTGTCTTTATGTATCTCTCTTATCCTCTCTTGTTTGTTTATAAACTTCTTTAAATAAAAACTTAAGTCTCTAGTGACCTGAAAAGACTCAAGTATGCACTTTCTCTATTAAGAGTAAGAAGGTTCTAGAAAGTAAAAGAATTGACAAGTGAAGTGTTACCTTACAGAGCTAAAAACGACAAGAAATAGAGGTTTTGTTAGTAGAAAAAGGCTTATTATCCACCTTCTCATATATTGTTTTGTACCTTTTTAAAGTATCTGCTGTTTTCACAATTTTCTTAAGGGATTTTGTTTCCCTCAGTTTGACCCTGAATTTTTGGTAGCACAATATTACCTGGCATCTGATTGGTTGACACAAAACATGTTAGTAACTGAATATAAACAAGCTCCTATTGATCCATCACATATTTCAATATGTTATTGGTAATAAAAAGAGTTAATTGATGTTTCATATCTATCCTACTCTTCCAATTGGGTTAACCTACAGATCAATACAATGAGGTCAATAAGATATGAGCAACAAGTCCCCAGGTAATAAAAAAGTTACTATTTATTCAAGCTGAGGTCTTTATTTCCTATCATCCTGTTAGGTAAGATTCAAGATCAAGGTCTCCTTTTTATTTCATTCAGACAATAAAACCAAATGGTCTTTAGTCCATGCTAAACTCCAATCCTTTGGTTACAGTTAAGAAGGCATTTCCCTAGAAGTTGTTAAAGGATATTGTAATCAATGAGGATCCTCATCACTACTAAGACTCTTCCATTATTACTAGGCAAAAAGATTATTAAAGAATCTAGCCTTTTGAGTAATGGAAGATATATACCAGTAAAATTTCTTTAATTAAGTATGGTTGTTGGAAGGTATTATACTGAAACAATATAATCTAGTTCTTATTAGATTACATATGAACCTGAAGTTCATTATAAGTTATCTCTTTACTGCAGA